CCCCCCGCCCTCTCTATCCTCCATGTTCTCCCCACCCACTCCCGGCATGAAACACACACACACACACTTCGCGCTTGGTGATGTGAGAGCCTGGCCCCGGTGACAACCCGGCGTGCTCCGCCGCGGCTTTGTAGGGATGCAAGGTCAACGGTCTAACGACTACCTCATGCACGGCTACGACTATTCCCCCCCCACACACACACACCCTCCTTCCCACCTTCGAAGAACGCCGGGCCTTCTCCACACTCGACCTCGACAAGTCGCTCCCCCGCCTACCGGTGCCAGAAGGCCGCCTTCCATGCCCCCCCCCCCCCCCCCCCCCCCCCCCCCCCCCCCCCCCCCCCNGTCCAGCCCCCCCCCTAGAACATTGGCGGCGGAGCCCCCATCCCCTCGGTTACGACTGCGCTCGTCCGCTCGTATTTGTCTGGCCAGCTTTGGGACGAGTGGGTGCTTAGTGGCCAAGCCGTGGTACACCGCGGTCGCGTCCAACTCCTGTTGTGGGGGAGGGGGGTAGGGGGCGCCGTGAGGTATGTGGGTGGGTCATTCAACATCCAGTTTTTTTTTGTGCCGAATACCAGCGTATGTTTTCGTGGTCATTCAGGTGGCTTCTTGCCGTTCTCCTCGGGAATCGTTGTCTGGCCCCAGGCATTCCACAGCGGCACCGCTGGTACACGTACCACTGCACTCATTCCGTGGTACGGTGTACCATGGAAATGGCACGTGAAATCGTGCCATATTGTATCGCTGGAAGGCCCTGCCAACGGCACAAAGGCCTTGCTCCTTTTCGAATGGCGAGCTTCCAATGGGGGTCCACGCTGACGAAATCCCCACAACATCAAAACGAGTTGACACACGACACACCTCCTTCCCGGACGTGATGCATACACTCCGCGAGCTTCCGGTTTCCTACACTGCGGAATACTTCTATGCGCGAACCACAAAGGCAAAAACAACCCCTGGTCTATTAAATTATTTCTTCTTAGGAGCGGTCTCTTCCCTGTTGCAACACAAGCAGCAACATCACATCATCACCTTGAGGCTGACGTTGACGGGCTCTAGCTCGTCGCCCTCCTGCATGGCCCTGTTGAGTGTGAGCAGACCCCAAAGGATCTCGTCGCACGCCGCCGCGTTAACGCCTTCCCAGGTGTAGCTGGACTCTTGGCCCACAGCCGTCGGGGACGAGCTATTAATGTGTCGTTCCGGTTGGAAAAAAAAAAAAAACGACGTACGGGACGAGGGGATAAAAATGAATACGACAATAGTTATGGGCTAAGAATTTTTAAGGGTGAACGGGACGAAGGGGATAATAAAACTGATTGAGATGCGGTCTTCTTGCGGGTCCTGGCTAGGATTTCATCGACAATTCTCTCCCCACGTTGTTGTCATTGCATTACCACCATTACTGTCACCACCGACACCGACAACAACAACAAAACAGATTAACAGAAACAGCAACAGCAACAGCAACAACAGCAGCAGCAGCATCAACAACAGGATCAGCAGCATCAACGGCAACAACAACAACAACAACATCATCACCATCACACACCGAAGCACTTCGCGACATACCTTCTGCCCGTCTCGAAGGTGAGGGTGAAAGCCGCTCCCTCCGTCTCCCGGGTCCCATCTCTCTTCTCAACACCAGAAAGCCCCTTAATGTTCCACCCACGGTTCGTCACGACTGGAACAAAAGCAAGAGGAACAGAATCAAAGGTCACGTCGACAAAGACAAGCACTATTCACGAGAGAACAAACAAACGCGCGTGACTTGAAAACAACGGCGACTTGCAAGACAGTTGCGCTTAAGAGCTGCTGAGGACTTGGTGACGACTGGAATCGGGGCAACAACACACGCTGCCGAACAGAAGCACCGCTGCCAAGAGCCAAACAAATAACGCGCCTTGTAACAAAAAACTTACGTGATTTTCCAGGCCAGCTCTACGTAAACTGCCCGCCAGAGCTGATGGGGACTTGTTTTTCATACAAATAATCAAAATTTCTCCGCAAACAAACGCGGGGTCAATAGGAACCTGTCAGCCAGCAACAGTAGTCAGTCCGTCGGAATCAATACCATTAGTCTACTCCGACGATTTCGGGTGATTTGATGGGTACATTCTCTTCTGTTTCGATTGTAGAGGCCCGCTTAGTAGACTCGGAAGTCGGCAATAAAACTGACCCGCTAGCTCAGACGCACGCCTGCACAATCGAAACCCAACAACTGCACGCAATGCTCTACAGTTGGTGGCTTGAGCCTGAGCTTCGAGCCTGAAGTACCGTAAGCAGGTGTCAGCCCTAAGGACAAAGGGTGGAGTAAGGGAAAGCCAGCTGACCTGTCTTCTCCGCGACCTCGCGGCCTTCTGGGCCCGGGTGCACGGTGATGTCTCTCACGGAGCCTGACCAATAGGAGCCCGCCGAGCTGGTCCTGTCTTCCATCTGTTTCCATCATGTACATCGACACAAGAAGCAGAACTGATTGGTCAGCCGGTTACACGGTTGATGCACAAAAAAACTCACAAAAATATCAGAAGAGCCTGGACACATCAGGAAAACACGGAGCTGATGCTGTTCAATCTGATCCCATCATCTACATCGACACGCGCACAGAACAAGAGCATATCCACAAAACACCACGGAATTCGTCCGAGTCTGTTGGACCACTGCGGATGCAGGGCCGGTTGTCCGTGTGTGTACACGTCGTTGACTAGCACAACGGAGTAAGTAAAATCGTCAAACGGCTCCAGCAAAACGACAGCAGCGTGCCTGTCTGTCCCTTGGTACTCACTACAATGCAGACAGAGTGCACCCTTGATCGGCTGGCTCTGGGCTTATCCCGTCCGTTGGATCCCGACGGGATGGAGGTGCCCTTCGAGGAGGGAATCAGCACACGTCCCATTAGCACCACCCTGCAAAGGCAGAAAAGCGCAGCGAGTAGTGTGCCTCGTGTTGCGGCTCGCTTTGACAAGCGGTTGGACGTGAGCCTATGGCGTGCTAAACGAGTTGGTTGACTGCCGGATTGCTTTGATGTTTCCCGCTCACCAAGCACGCACCGTAGTCCAAGTTGGCTTGGTTCCGGCCATTGCTGAGTCGACTTCCCCAAACTCTTTTCACCTTCCTCAACTTATATGCGCCCCCACCCATCTGAGAAAGGAACGATTGGCCATCGGTCATCGGTCCTGTGGGAACAATGCTCCGTCCTCTCGAGGACGCGTGGCCAATGGTCTAACCGCTAAGGCATGCAAAACA